TTGATAACAGATTGTAAAGTTTCTTTAACCTTTTACATAATCTGTTGCAACTTTCTGTATTGGCCTTTGAAATCTCTTTTTACCACATTGGTTAAGTAAACAAGTATTGTTTCATAGTGATCTACAATCCTATCTGACTTAAGTATTTAAAAATTTTTTGACATCCTTGACAAATTTTCTGAAATCAAACTCTGATTTTGATTCTTTTGATCTTTAGCTAAATTTGGGATGCTCCAGGATTTCCCTGAAACATCTCAGAGAGAGATTAAACTAACTAGGCTTATTTGGCATGTTGAATTACATGGGAAGCATTGTCAAATGAGTGATGATAAAACTTCTCAGGTTATATATTAATATAAATGTTCTAAAAATTATATGAAATTCCTAAAATTGGATATAGCTATGTCATAATTTTAGTTATTATCTTAATATGTTATATGTTGCATAAATAACCAAACTTCTTTGTCAGTTGCATTGTAATCAGGTCCTTAACCATGCCATTTTAAATCTTTGACATTTATATTACTCTAGTGCTTTTACAAAACTGAAGATCTTCAAGAAGTTTCATAGAAAGAACTTTTTTTTATTACAAGTATAAGTTTCTGATAACCTTTAGATCATACCACTGAAATAGGTAAGAAATTACAGAATTCTAGATGAAAACTGATGGTTTCAGAAACTGCTAACAAGAGATCAAGATCAACAAGAATTAATTACATGGAACTGAATAAATTGATGGATATGATTTTAAGTTTCATGACTTTTTGTCCAAAATAGTACTGGCTTTTAATATTTGTTCTCCAGATATGAGGAAACCTTTCCTCTTTTATGCCTAAGTCTAATATACATAAATATTTAAATTCTATCACATATTACCACTGTTATACATTTTTTTTAGTTTAGAGTTACCCACATATTTAATTTTATTCCTGCTTCTCTACTATGTTATCTGGGATTTCCCCCCTTCTTAAAAAATAGTTTTTACTATTACCCTTTAGTTTATTTTGCTAATAAAAAATCTGTTATTATTTATTCATTTATTTGGCCAGGCTGTGTCTTAGTATGGCATTTGGGATCTTTGATCCTCGTTGTGGCATGCGAACTCTGAGTTGAGGCATGTGGGATCTAGTTCCCTAACCAGAAGCTGAACTAGGGCCCCCTGCACTGGAAGTTCGGAGTCTTAACCACTGGAAGTTCAGAGTCTTAACCACTGGACCACAAGAGAAGTCCCTAGTTTTGTCTTTCTCTAAATGATTTCATTTTTAAAAGATATATATATCTTTTAATATTTTACTATTCCTATTTTGTTAATTTTTATATTTTGGCCATGTGGGATCTTAGTTCCCCAACCAGGGATTGAACCCACACCCCTTGCAATGGAAGGGTGGAGTCTTAACCCCCGGGCCACCAGGAAAGTCCCTAAAGATATTTTTGCTTATACACAATTCTTAGGTTTATTATTATATCCTTTTAGCACATTAAAGCTACCTTCCCCTTGAGGTCCAGTTTCCATTTTTGCTTTTGCAAAATTAAATATTGACTTTAAGTTTTTCTTTTTAAGTGGGATCTCTTTCCTTCTTTCTTCCTTCTTTCCCTTTCCCTCTCCCTTCCTCCCTCCCTCTCTTTCTCTTTCCTCTTTTTACTCCCTGCTGACTAAAGTATACCTATGTAAACAATGATGAAACATTTATCTTTTTCTCTCTACCTGATTTATCCAGAATTTGGCTTTTTCAGTGGCCCCCTTCTGAACTTGTTGGCTTATTAGTATTCAGATTGCAACCAGTTATACTGATCATTGTTCTCTTTTTCTCTCTCTTTGTTGTTTTTAAACTGTTTATGCTTTGAGTTCTCTCACTGCTGTACTATAGTCTTACTAATGCTATTACTTATATCCTGCCTATTGTATAAGATTCTTGTTTCTTGCATTACCATTATGTAACCAGGTCTCTGACTAAATTAACAATGGCTAAATGTCTTGAGGCAATTTGTCACATATATAACTCTCTGTAAAATTAATTGCAATAGTGTAATTCTAAATATTATGAGTTTAAGCAAACTCCAGAAGTTGGTGATGGAAGGGAAGCCTGGCATGCTGCTGTCCATGGGGCTGCAAAGAGTTAGACACAACTGAGCAACTGAATTCTAAATATGGGGAAAAGCAACATGAGAGAAACATTTCTTGGATCACAACAGTCTAGTAATATAGATGACACAGAGACTCTATAGGATAACAGGGCCTAATTCAAATATAGCACATGAATAGCCAATCAATGGAATTCTCATCCTAGGAATGAGTCTTCCTAGCCCACGGGACAAATTGGTCATGAAATGCCTCCCACACCTTGGTCAAATTTATGACCCAAAGTGGGAAGTGAACCAAAAAGAACAAAGAGCATCACTCATCACCTAGTTAAAGTAGTGGGTTAAATTATAACCCACTGCAGTTACCTACCAACAGTGCACCCTGAAGGGAATTCAGGATGAAAAAAACAGGATGAGGCACTCTGTGCTTTGGCCCCTAGATAATTAGATACATATCCTGGGAAGAAGTTCAAGGACTCCAGATGCTTGCATCTTCATATATGTAGAAAAGTACTGAAATCACTAACTTGAGATGTCTGTTCTTCATGATTAGCAGTGATCTTTTACCAAGATGTATGCTTAACGACTTGTATTTTCCAGTCATAAAATTCACATATATACTGACTTCTCCCTTACCTCTTTGGAGCAGCTTACTCAGAGCTACTGATTGACTGTTTCCTGGGCAGTAGTCTTCAATAAGACTCTGAATAAAGCTTAAACTCACAGCTCTCAAATTGTGTACTTTTAAGTTGACATAGGGTTTGACTGGAGAAAGCAACAGGATGCTTTCAAAATAGCAGTACTAGTGGAGGATGGGAAGAATTGACAAGCCAGAGTGCAAGGCAATTAGAAGAGATCTGGGACATATGGGAACAAGGAAAAACATGATACCTAGAAGCAAAACAGAAATCAAAGATGCCTTGTTTCAAGGAAGGTGCAGGTTGTATGGTCCAGTAAAGGTAACCAGTAGCTACATGTGCCTATTGAGCATTTGAAATGTGGCAAGTGACATAGATTAAAATAACACTTCAGATATATGGTACTAAATACAATGCATTATTTATTTGTTCAGATTGTTGTGGGTCCTTTTTTCTGCACTCAGATTTTCTCTAGTTGTGGCTAGCGAGGGCTACTCTCTGTTGCAGTGTGTGGGCTTCTCATTGAGGTGGCTTCAGTAGCTACAGCACACAGGCTCAGTAGTTGTGGCACACTGGGCTTAGTTAATCCAAGGCACATGGGATCTTCCTGGACCAGGGATCGAACCTGTGTCCTTTACATTGCAAAGCGGATTCTTAACCACTGGACCACCGGGGAAGCCCAAAAAAATGTATTATTAAAATTGATTTATTGGTTCTAGCTTTTCCTCTTTCATTATGGTTATTAGAGAGTTTAAAATTACATATGTAGCTTGCACTGTACTTTGGACAGGATGAAGCATACATTTACAGATTTGTTCACCAAACATCTGTGGACTATCTCCCTGCTCAGTTGACAAAACTGATAAAGACAGAATAGCTCCTATGGGGGCTTCATTCCTTTCAGAAGACTATGATTATGTGATGAGTCTCATGTGATGTGTGCCCTTGAGGTGTGCCCTGGATACGTGGGCACATCAGATCCTAGGCGTGGTAAACCAGCAGAGAAGCCTGTCCAGATGAGGCTTTGTCCTGGAAGACCACTAGTGTTAACTAAATCAAGAATAGAATAGTGTTGCAAATCAGAGGGAATCACTTCATCAAAGTCTGTGACTCTGTTTTTCCTTTTCAGGAAGTTGTCCAAAGGCTTAGCATTTAAAGAATGGTGGAATATTAAGAGGTATTCCAATACATTCCTTCTATTTTTGCCCTCATTTTAGTATATGTGCTGCCTGAAGCAAGCACTTTGCCCTCATTTTAGATTAAGCATGACAGAAGAAATAAAATCAAATGAACATGGTAGGCAAGCACAACAGGCCAAACCTTAAAATTACTCTTGGCTAAAATAATTCTATAAACCAATGGCTGCAGGAAAAGAGGAGTTCTTAGCCATAAAACACACAACTTGTACTGAGGATAGTAATGCTGACACCCTGTTTCGTATTGTTAGGAAGTTAATTAGCCTTGGAGGCTGTAGATAGCAGCCATGGTGGTCACTTGACACTCCCAGGATCTGACCTCCACTGGAAGGGAGGCACCCTGCACCTCAGATCCACTCCTAAGAATAATACTGTCATTAAACAAGTGTCAGACATTTGGCACATTATCTGAAGAACTGGAAAAAGTTCTGAGTGTAATACCCATTCATCCTTTTCCAATCAATAAATCCAAATCACAATTGTTACTTTATTTGTAAATCCATCAAACTTGCTGTGGTTCAGAGAGCTTTCATTTTGTGTGGATTTGCCCAAATTAAGAACTTTCAATCATCTTGCCTTTTACAAACTTAGATACAGAAAAGAGTTTAAAGTAAGAATTGTGCCCAGCAGTGTCTGACTCTTTTCCACCCCAAGGACTGTAGCCCACCAGGCCCCTCTGTCCATGGAATTTTCCAGGCAAGAATACTGGAGTGAATTGCCATTTCCTCCACTATGGGATCTTCCCAACCCAGAGATTAAACCGTGTCTTTTGTGTCTCCTGCATTGGCAGGTGGATTCTTTATCACTAGCGCCACATCAGAAGCCCAAAGTAAGAACTAATTGCAAACAGAAAAGGAAAGAAAAATCAAGAACTTCAAAATAGTTTTCTGCCTGAAAGTTTTGCTTCAGGTCTTATAGACTACAACTGCTTATGTCTAAACTGTCCCTGGTACGTCCAAGTTTCAGAGAACTGCAAAGTAAAACCCTAGCGCTACCATCTAATTAGAATCCTTACTCTTAGAAAGCTAGTCCACCTCCCCACCATCCTTTGCGGTGCTTCAAGGTGGCGGCACCCAGTGGCGCCATGAGCGATTTGGAGAGCAGCAGCAGCAGCAGCGATGAAGAGGAGCTGGAACGGTGCCGCGAGGCAGCGATGCCGGCCTGGGGCTTGGAGCAGCGCCCGAGGGCTTCGGAGAAGCCAAGAGTCGGTGCTACAAATGCTAAGTTGTCAGCCAACCAGCCAAGCATCAGGCACAAGGTGGATGAGCACGAACAAGACGGCAACGAACTTCAGACCACCCCCGAATTCCGAGCCCACATAGGCAAGAAACTGGGAGCCCTGTTGGACAGCTCCATTACCATCTCAGAAATCGTGAAGGAGCCAAGAAAGGCCGAGGTGCAGAGAGGCGCCCTGGAGGATGATGGCTTCCGCCTTTTCTTCACGTCCATCCCCGGAGGCCCAGAGAGGGAAGCTGCTCCCCAGCCCCGCCGGAGACGGTTGCCTTCCAGCTCCAGCAGCGATGATGGCGCCGAGGAGTTACAGCGCTGCCGGGAGGCGGCTGTGTCCGCGTCCGACATCCTCCAAGAGTCCGCCGTCCATGGCCCTGTCCCTGTGGAGAAAAAGAAGAAAAGAAAGTTGAAAAAGAAAGCCAAGAAGGACAGCGCTGTCGTGGCTGCTACCGCCAGCAGCAAGGCCGCATTCGGGAGGCGGGCAAAGGAGTCTGTCCAGCTCAATGGAGACCAGGCGCCCCTTGGGACCAAAAAGAAGAAGCGGAAGAAAAAGGCAAAGAAGGCCAATGAGGCCTCCTCGTCCCCGCCAACAAAGAGCGCTGCTGCCGTGCCCTCAAACTGAGTCCAGTGTGCGGGCCGGGAGCCCACCAGCTCAGGCTTCCCACAGGGACTAGGCCTGTCCAAGCCCCGAGTCCCTCTCCAATGCAAGAACTTGGCTGGTGAGTCCAGGCTCTGCCCATGACTGGGGCCAGCCCAAGGGTCGGGGCGAAGAAGTGGTCATAGGGTGAGCAGGGCCTGCCCTCCTGTGCTCCCCCTGGGCCACAGCAGACCTGTGGTACCAGAACATTCTGTGACCCCAGGAAGAAGGAGATTCCCAGTTACTCAAGGCTGAAGGCCAAGTAGTAGAGCTCCCACTGCCTCAGCCTGGTGCAGGAGACGACCTGAAGAAAACAAGGTGGGGTGGGGCCCTGAGGCCCCAGAGCCCCTTGTATATCTCCCTCCACACAGACTTCATAAAACACTGTCTAGAAAAGAAAGAGTGAGATCTACTCTGCCCCCACACCTCGTTTTCCAGAATTTTCTGTGTCCACAATGTGAATATGCCATGCGTGATCGTGTCTCTGAGCCAGCCAGATTATGGAAAATAAATTGCCGAGGGAACGGAAATGTAAAAAAAAAAAAAAAAAAAAAAAAAAGCTAGTCCATAAAAGACATCATCCACAAAGAACATCAGCTATTACCCATAGTGGTGAATACTACTTAAGGCAGACAATTTGCTCTTTCAGAGTAGGGTTGGTAGAATGATCTGTCCATCTCTTAACAAATCAGTCTCTAGAGTGATGAGAGTGCCATTGTTTGAGCAAATGACTTCACTAGTGGTTAGTCACCAAGAGATATCCTTTGGTAACCTCAGCTATGGTTTTTCCAGTAGTCATGTATGGATGTGAGAGTTAGACCATAAAGAAAGCTGAGCGTTGAAAGCTTTTGAACTGTGGTGTTGGAGAAGACTCTTGAGAGTCCCTTGGACTGTGAGGAGATCCAACCAGTCAATCCTAAAGGAAATCAGTCCTGAATATTCATTGGAAGGACTGATGCTGAAGCTGAAACTCTAATACTTTGGCCACCTGATGTGAAGAACTGACTCATTTGAAAAGACCCTGATGCTGGGAAAGATTGAGGGCAGGAGGAGAAGGGGATGACAGAGGATGAGATGGTTGGATGGCATCACCGACTCAATGGACATGGGTTTGGGTGAACTCTGGGAGTTGGTGATGGACAGGGAGAACTGGTGTGCTGCAGTTCATGGGGTCGCAAAGAGTCGGCCATGACTGAGTGACTGAACTGAACTGATACTGGGAAAGATTGAAGGTGGGAGGAGAAGGGGATGACAGAGGATGAGATGATTATGTCATCACCAACTTGATGGACAAGAGTTTGAGCAAGCTTCGGGAATTGGTGATGGACAGGGAAGCCTGGTGTGCTGCAGTCCATGGGGTCGCAAAGAGTCAGACACAAATGAGTAACTGAACTGAACTGAACCTCAGATCTCTGATGCAAGGCTCCTTAACAGCCAGGGTTCCCCGTCTCTTCTATGAGGAGAATGCATTTGCCACTTCCCTGAGCAACCTGCAGGTTTAGGGCTTCTGGCCACCTTCCTGAGTTTACTTCCCTTCATAAAGCAGAGGTTGTAATGGCAGCAAACCAGCCTGGGGAGAAACTTACTAGGGAGTATCTTAAGGCCATTTGGAAATCATTCATTTCTTCAGGTAAGTCCCAAAACAGCCAGATGTAAAGAAAATATTCTGTTACAACATAACTATTTTATATTAGCATCAGAGAATAATTTGGAGTAAGCTGCAAAGAAATAAAGGAACATGGCTGTTGGGACTTCCCTGTTGGTCCTACGGTTAGGAGTCTGTGCTCTCACTGCCAAAGACCTGGATTCCTGGATTCCCTGGTTGGGAACTAAGATCCTGAATGCTCTGTGGCAGGGCCAAAAAGAGAACATAGCTGTTTCAAATGCCAGTGTTCTCACACCTGGAGGAAAAGGCCTGCAAATCTCAAAGGAGTGGAAACCCCAAAACAAGAGGAAAGGCCTCAGAAATCTTGTCTGGCTTGAGATAAGAAAGAGGACACGTGGTCACATGGTAAAGAAACACCACACTGCCTTTAAGTCTATTAATTTATTGAGTAAAAATGAAATCATCGTCAGACATATTAAATTCAGTTTGGTTTGAATTTGGCTGATGTCCACTTGCAGCAGAGATGAATGAAGGGAAAGAGAAGACACAGTGACGCTGGCAAAGGGACACCGAAGAAGGCCATTTTCCATTAATTATAAAAGCAGGCATCACACAGCCAGCGTGAGTCATTAGCAAAGGGGGACGTGATACTGAATGAGCAGCAACAAAACCAAAGTAAGTGAGAACTCGGAAGAAGAGAGAGGCCAGAGCTTTTAGAGGACAAAATTCAGCAGAGGCTGCGTGGAGAGCAGCGCTGGGAGCGGAGCTGCCCGCTCACTTGGGGAACACTGTGATCACATCATAGCCCTCCGGTGGAGTGACCCGCTCCCGGGCATGCTTTTCACAGTAGATCTGATCCTCCACGAAGAAATGGCCCTTCTGCTTCAGGTTGGTGCCACAGTCAGTGCACACGTAACACTCAGGGTGGCGGTGACGTTCCCGTAGCTTCACGAACACGCCGCTGCAGGAGGGGAAGGAGGAGAGGTGCTCCATTAGTGACGAGCACCTGAAGGTGACAGGCCGGGGCTCCTCCCAAGGGGCCCATCCAAGGGCAGATCAGAGCCTCCCCACTGGCCTCCAGTCTTAAAGGGGCTTCTCCTGCCTGGAGGCCAGAGATATTCCCCTTGAAGACTTCTGGAAGTCCCTCCCACTTCAACCGAGCAGCCCTGCTTTTTCTGGCTTTACGTGTTCATACCCTAAGGGTTTCACAGCCAAGGAAAGACTTCACCACCTGGCTCTGAGACACAGGACCAACCTCGCCTCTCTGCTCCATCTTCCAGGCAGGATTTTTTTCTCCATCATGCCCACAATGGGCAGCATGAAGCACTTTCCACATTTTCATGGTTTACACAACCTGCAGGGCCACCGATGGCTGGGAAGACAGATACTCACACAATGCCAGTGCCACATTTGTCACACATGGGCAGCTTCTGGGCATTTCCAATTGATGCAGCCACTTTGGTGACCGGAGCCTTAACACTTCTGAATCCTGAGGGCTTGTTGGGATCCCCTAAAAGGAGGAAAACACTTGGGTTAGCCAGGAAGCGCAGGACTGTATAAGCATCTAGCTCTTTCAGAGTCACTTATATGTATGTTCCAGCAAGGTCATGGGCAGCAGAATCAAACAGACTTGACTGCTGTGTGATCCTGGGCAAGTTACCTAACTTCTCTTCCCACAGTTTCCTTTTCTATAAAATAGGAGAACATTTCCCCTTCAGAGTAGAACAAAATGATTGAAAAAGACACATGTAGCCCTCCCTGGCATATATGGTCAGCCCTCAAGACAAATTACATTACATGCTGATTAAATACATGCAAACATTGATATGGGACTTAAAAATACCTTACATAGATGGAAAAAATCTAAAACACATGAAAATCAAATGGCAGTGTAGTCAGATGCCAAAAGAAACCCACATAACAAGGACAACAAAATCATTATAGTACAGAATGCTAGAAGTCAGATAAAAACCACCTGCCGCAGAGCAGAGACAGTAGCAGCCTTCCTGCAGTCAGCTTGCTGTGTGCAAAACCAGCTCCTAGTTTCTAGAGCTCTGCCTACAGCCCAGTTCATCACCTATGTAGGTAGCTGTGAATAATAATGGTAAGCTACTAATATTACTATTATTGCTATATATTTGGCTGGCTCTGTTTCCACATCACATTTTTTTTTCCTGTGATGTTGGCCCAGTGAGTATTGTTATGTTTGTCAGTTATTTACACATCTCTGTCTGGAATACAAATTACTGGAGCACCAGAGCTGTTTCATATATTTTTTCAACACTCCACAGAGCCTACCACAGGCTTAGCAGAAAAGAATGGTGGGCTACAGTCCATAGGGTCGCAAAGAGTCAAACACGACTGAAGCAATTTAGCATGCACACATGCACAGCCCAAGGTATCATCTTGCCTTTCCAAACCTTTCTGCCTTTCTTGGTCACAGTCCCAGCTTTGTTCATTATAGAATCTTTTTTTCTTTTTGTATTAATTTTTATTTTTAAAAAATATTGCACTCAAGTATTATTTCTGTCTTGATTACCGAGTTTTGGGGTGCCAACTTAAATTCTTTACCCAAAGCAAATGCCTCCCTCACCTTATCCTAATTCTGGCCCTGCCTGAAGGGATCTCAGAGGGGCCTGGCTGGGAAGCCTCATGACTCTGAGTGTCCCAAACAGCTCCCTCACTTTCTGGCTGGAACCAGCTCAGCTGTCTACCTGCTGTGAAGACAAGGAAATGGCATCTTTGCATACCTGGACAGTTTGGAGAGAAAATCGGTAGTTCTAAGGGAGCCAAACCTATGAGGTCAGGGTCTCTTATGTGATGGACTGCTTTTCACAGGAGAATTACCAGGAAAGGTAGGACGTGCAGGAGGAGAGAAATAACACGACACATGAGCCCCACTTGGTAGGAGAACCCACATCTCTTTTTGGAACAGAGAGAAGTGAACTGATGGAGCTGGGCACAGTGTGAGTAGAGAAGGCTGTGTGCTGCCTAATGCTGATCTCGCTGTGGCTTATGCAGCCCTGCAGCACCACCTGCTGGCTCGATTTTCTTCTCTTACCTAGTCAGCCAACACTGCAAATGCAAAGAAAATTCCACATCTTTTTTCTATCCACTTCATTGCTCAACAACACTGGAGGGCTCCACACTGCCTACAGTATCAAATTCACAGTCCTTAACCTCACACCTAGTGGTCCTCCATGATCTAACAGCAGACCACCTAAGGATTCTCCCGAAACCCTGGGCACCTGCCAAAATGAGCCTAGATACCTTCTGAGCAAACCTCCAGCTGACTGCACCTGGAAGTCCTGTATTAGATAAATGTCACCACAATTAAAAAAAAAAAAGAGTCCTTCTCCCTGCAAATTTTAGAATTTGACCTAGAGCAAGCGGGAGTGTGAGGAATCCTGGACCCTTTCTCCCAGTCGAGGCTAAATTTCACCCCAAATGAGAAGACCCACATTGAGTCTGGAGATTTATCACCAAGCCCTGCTGCAGCCTGGTGGCTCAGATGGTAAGGAATCCGCCTTCAGTTCGGGGAGACCCAGGTTCAATCCCTGGGTCGGGAAGATGCCCTGGAGGAGGGAATGGCAACCCACTCCAATATTCTTGCCCAGAGAATTCCATGGACAGAGGAGCCTGGTGGGTTACAGTCCATGGGGTCACAAAAAGTCGGACACGACTGAGCAACTAACACTTTCACTTTTTTCACCTGCTAGAGCCAAACCTCCCACTGGGGACTCACTGACTGTGTGCCTGGCACTTTGCACATGTCATTTCCCTCCAGGCTTTAAACCACCTGTGAAGTAGCCATTATTAGCCTCACTGGACATGTGCAGAGAATAGGACTTAGAGAGATGAGCCACTCCCTTGAGGTCTCGTGGTGAGTCATGGGCAGATCCTGGACACCAGTACTGCTGCTTCATGAACCACGGGCCTTCCTGAATGTCAGCAGCCCTCACGGAGTGCTTTTACCATACACCAGCCACCGCCCTGAGCTTTGACCATTATATCGCAAATGAAAACATGCATTTGAGCTCCCTCACTTGAGAGCCTTCTGCACGTGGTAGATGTCTGGATTGAAACTTATGCTGTTTCTTTTGTGAAAATTTAATGCAAGTGCATATTAAGAGATAAAGGAGAGACCACAAGATCTATCTCCCTTTTCATTTTTAGCAAAATTTTTATTTTATTTGGCATAAGAAGATATCCAGTCATCCAACCCAGGGGAGAAAAACTATAATTCTCAAACTCTCTTGTAACTAGATAGGGCCGTGTGACTAAATTCTGGTCAAAATATAAATGGAATAGTCATGTGGGACTTCTGGGAAAAAGAAAGCTGGTTCATCTGGAAGATGGAGTCCTCAGTTAGCCTTCCTGGTGCCTGGAAGTAGGCATGATGGCTGGAGCACTAGCTGCCAACTAGCACCAGGAGGCAGCCTTGAGACTGGAGACCACTGACTTAGCAGGCAGAATACAGGATGGAAGGGGTCTAGATATTGATGAGCAGGGAACTGCCACCTCAGGACAGTTCAGTGATCCCGGGCTTCAGGTCCTTCTCTGTGACCTCTGTGACCTGACAGCATTCAGCAAGCTGAGCCCTGGAAGATATATGTTCTACCTTGGGTTGGAACAGATTGACATTTCCTTTCGTAAATAAAGGGTTTTACACCCATTTATTCAGAGTAGAGTTGTGATTTCTCACATGTTTTGAAAAACCATCATCCTCTAGGGTTGGACCCCAAGACATCGGTCAGTTGGGCTAAGACTGGAACTTAATATAGAGTATATGACTAATTCCTTCCAAACTGCACAGGTACTCCAAGCAAAGGGAGATATTGCTGGTAGGGATAATATCCTTCTAGCATAAAAGAAGAATTTTCCTAACTTCCTGTGCCTCTAAATTGCCAATTTCTCTAAGGAACGCACCCAAGTGGGGAGGAAGCCTAGGTGCTGGGTGTGTTCAGTAGGGGACTTTCAGCTCAGGAAGGACTCCTGGGGAGCCAACTCTGCAGTTGGGGACTTTCAGGAGGAAGGGGACTCTTCCAGAGGGAGCTCAGTTCTGACCCTCACTGGCTGCCCCAGGCAAAGAGCCAGCCTCTCTGGAGCCTGGCTGAAGTGGATCTCACAGAACCACCACATGTCCTTACCAACTCTCTCTTCACAGGCAGGCACATTGGGAGGCAGGACTCCAGTAAGCCTCAGGGAAAAGGACAGTGCAGAGTATGGAGGGCTGGGGCCCAGGAGGGCTGCAAACCCCAACTCTCCAGACATCACTGGTAGCTAGGGTGACAGAGAGAATCAGAGGTGCTTATGAATGACCACCTGGGAGGTGGGTGAGCCTGACAGCTGTGGCTCACAGGTCACCTTTTTGAGAAGGAGGAAAAGCCTCCCTTCTACAGCACCTACATCTGCCAGAAATTTCTCACTGTTGTTGCTACAAAGCTGAGACAGCTTGTTGCCATCCGCTTGAAAATTATCATAAGAAACAGTGTCTGATGTATATAGGGCAAAGACTATCTCCTGAGACCTGCAGAGCCACACAGGTAGCCCTGGGTGCCTCGAGCATCGGATCTCACATATGGACAAGCTAAGGCTGGCCTGGAACCTCTCGATGTGGTTTCAAACATCATCAGTTATGAAGCACCTACTGCGTGCACCAGTCACAACGATGGGTGTTTTGTGTAATTTGATCCTCACACCAATCTTAAGAGGAAAGGATTTTTATCCCAATTGACAGATAAGCAAACAAGTCTAGAAAGGTTCAAAGGGTTGCCTAAGGTCAATTCCAGGGTATGTGGCCACACTGGGGGCCTTCAGAGAGGCCATCCACCTAGAGCATCTACCCTAGAGCAAGAACAAGTGCACGGCCCCAGAGTGAAGCCCAGAGCCTGGCTTCCCTGTGCTGCTGATTCATTCACTCAGCTGTCACAGCCCACGACCTTCACCCACTCACACGTGCCAACCACCAGAGAAGCATGATATGTGGGCTCAAACAAAACTAGTGGCGAACAGACAGCCCAGCAGAAAGCCACAACCGTCAAGTTCACCCCTGCCCTCAGTCTCCCTCAGTGCCTGTGACAGGAAACAGCTAAGCAGGTGTGGCTGAGAGCTCATTCAGTACCCCCCCGCCTTTTTTAAAGAGCTTTTAGCATTTAAGAGGCTGGCCTTCCAAACACACTGTGCTCTTTCCACCCCTCAGGCTGTGTTCACCTGTGTTTCAGCAACAACTACCCCTCAGCCCAGGCCTCAAACAGCTTCTGCACGCACGCACGCACGCACGCACGCACAAACACACACACACACACACACACACACCTGATTACCTTTCTCCTCAGACTCCAGAATTTCCTGCAAAACCAGGAACGAAGTGGACTGTTTCGGAGGCTCATTTAACTCCTGTTTCTCCTGAAGCATCTTGTAAACTTCAGATTCTTTGTCAATGACGAGTCCGCTTGGGAACTGAGAATGGTCTAAGCTGTAAAGAATGTTTGCAAGTTCATTAGGACACATCAGAAGTTAGGGAAAAAAATTCACCAGGCACCCCCTTCCAAGCAAAGACACCCCTGTGTAAAAGAGTGAAGAGAAATTATCCCAATGGATGAAGCCAACTCCTGATGCAGCCATGGGCCCCCTGATGATACGGTGAGGTGTCTGTAGGCAGGGCCGGTTGCTGCTTCAAGTCAGTAAGAGGCTAGTTTGGGTGATTCAATTACTCTTTGGCCTAATCCCATGGAACAGGAATGCTGTGCTTCTTTCAAAATTATATAAACAATATTATGTCGAAAGAAAATTTAGAAGAGGGAAAATGTCAACCACAACTGAGCACTGAAAACTCAGCTGGGTCCCCTTAGTCCAGGCCTCATTCTTTCCCCAGAGCAGAAATCAGTGTTTCCTAATGAAATCAAAGTGCTCTCTCTGTCTCTATAAACTCTCATTCTCATGGCAAGGAGCTCTGGTCTCTTCACCTACCATACAGAGGTAACAGTGTATGCCTTGTCCAGTTCACAGGGTTGGTGGCAAGGATGAGAAAGGTAGGTACTTTGCTTTTTTATTGGAGTACAGTTGTGTTAGTTTCAGGGATAGAGTGAATCAATTATACATATACATATACATATATCCAGTCTTTTTTAGATTGTTTTCCCATATAGGCCATTACAGAGTATTGAGTAAAGTTCCCTGTGCTATACAGTATGTCCTTATCAGTTATCTATTTTACATACGGTAGTGTGTATATGTCAATCCCGAACTCCCAATTTATCCTTTCTCCCACCCCCAAACCCCCACCTTTTCCCTCTGGTAACTATAAGCTTGTTTTCTACACCTATGACTCAGTTTCTGTTTTGTAAATAAGTTCACCTGTACCATTTTTTTTTTTACATTCACATATAAGTGATATCACATGATATTCACTTTTGTCTGGCTTAACTTCACTATGGCAATCTCTAGGTAAGTACTCTGTAAACAATACAGTGCTGCTCCATGTAAGGGAGACGGTGGGTGGGGGGGGGGGGGCGTGGGGGGTGACAGAGGCCTCAGCTCAAGCCTAGGGATGGGGCAAACCAGGCCTTGCTGTCCCCACCTCCCCTTGTCCCTCTGGGCTCCCCAGGACAGGATGAGACAGGCAAAGTCGGGCCTCTTTCCTCCAGAGCCCATTTTCCAGGGGAGGCAGTGCTGCTGCCTAGTCTGAGGGAGGGAGGAGAGTGAAAGGGAGGCAAACTCCAGTGAGCCTTACGTTTGAAGTCTGTCCTGAGTCCCACCCCCTTCACTGCCTGCCCTAGCCATGCCATCCGTTAACAGCTCAGCTGACCAGCTTCCTAACTTGTCCCCTGGCCGCCACTCTCAGCCCCTGGAACTGTCTTTCCTCTGACCAGAGGCCAGAGAGAAATTTTAAACATAAGAATCAGACTATGTCGTGATGTGGCTCAAAGTGTTCTCATCTGACTCAGAACCAAATATTTACAGTTTTAATAACAAAAACACAAGCTTAACCAAATTCATCTTCTTTGGAGTAAATATTTGCTACAAAAAGTACAAAGGCCATAAAAGATGTGGCTCTGCTCCCCTCCAAGCACATCGCTTGGTACCCTCTGCTTACTCCAGGCAGACAAGCCTTCATGGGGTTTCTAGGACACACCAGCCTCAGGGCCTTTGCACATCCTGCTCCCTCTGCCTGGAATGATCCCTCCCCGCATGGCCCTGCAGCCTCCACGATTCACTCAGGTCTCTGCTCAGATGTCCCTCCTCAGAGGGGTCTGTGACCCTCAGTTTAAAACAGTCCACCCCATCCACATCACTCCGCCTCCTGCTCTGCTCCATCTTTCTCCACATGTTTCTAACTCTTTCACCACGAATTATACTTATTTCTTTATTATCTATCTCTCCCTGCAAAGCAAGCCCCATGAGGGCTGGGCTATGGCCTGTCTTTTCCATCACTGTGGGTCCTGCCCCAGATCAGTGCCTGGCACAGGGTCAGAGCTTGGCAGGAATTAGGGAAGTAAATCAAGTCCCTCTCTCCTCCTCGCTGCACCCTGTCTCTGCTCCTGTGGGGCCACAGGGAACCCCTCAAGGCTGTGCCAGGGCAATGGGCCAACTGGGTTCCTGGGTCCTGATCACCTGCAGCCTCAGAGCCTCGGCTGCTTTTTCAGAAGCCACCACCTGCTGGGGAAGAGGGACAGTGTGCCTGGGGGAGCCAAAGAGGAAATACCAGATGGCGATGCAATTTATAATCCCACCCACTGTATAATTAGTTTACATTCCATTTTAAATGTGCCTCAAGTCACAAGGTCACTCATGTCAGTGAAATTCCGGGTTTTTGCTTTGACTACACAGCCAGGTTCTCACAGTTGAGGACAGAGCCCTCCAAGAGTGACTACTGCTCTGCTGCTCTCAGGGAAAGTCAGCATGTAATGGAGAGAGACGCATCAGCGGGTCACACCTGTGCTGGCCGTGGGTGCAGGAGGGGCTGGCCACTACCTCTGTCCGCCCACAGTGGGTGGCCCCTGCAGTTGTCTCTCTCTTCCATCTCCCCAGGCAGGTGATGGGTCACTCTGAGGAATGACAGTCACCAAGGGCCATGGTCTTCCTCTGGCCCACCTTTTCAGCCCTATCATTTGAGTTACACGCCAGACTCCTTCTTTGGGTCTTGAGTTCTGAGCTTGCCCTGTACTAAATGAATTATGTTATTTTGACAAATTTTTTTTTTGTTACACTTAGAACTATTTTAAAATCAAGATCAGACCGTGGAATGTTCTTGGGGAGAATTTTTCCCCTTCTTTGGCGTATGTTGTTATGTCTGGAAGCCACCAAGGGACTGCTAAAAATGACAGACCCCAAACTACAAGGTCATCACATATTCTTCCAGCAAACTGTCTTGGAAAATATTTCTGTGATTAAATAAAACAACTTAGTGTTTCTTCTTAAATATGACAATACCTTTCTACCACTTGACAATTTATAAAGCACTTTCAATATCCATCGCCTTATTTGAAGCTATGATTTGCCTAATTCAAAAATAATATCCTAAGACCCAAGTCTTAGACATTAGACTATCAGATATGGACAAATGACATCACAATATCTTTTAAAAAGAAATTCTAGGACAAAAATATGCATGAGTAATGGAGTCCTAAAAAAAAGCATTCTCATTCTTTATGTATAGTAACAGCATTGAGAGGAAGAATTCTAAAGTGATAAGTTTTCAAAAAATATTAGATATATTACTAGAGTTACCAGGAAAAAAACTTGTGAGGGTGGGTCATTAAAAGTAAGTGCAGTCTTCTAAATTCAGTCTTTACAATTTTAAAAACAAAATACAAGAATTTAATCAATTTAACTCCTTCAGAGTAACTATCCATTACACTCTTCATATTTCCTGCTTCTTGTTTCTCCCTGTCAGACTTGATGCTGAATGTATACCACCAGTTTCCTCAATGTTTAATATTTTCTTCCAGTTTCTTAGGCCCTGACCACAGGACCTGTCTCCCCAGCAATATCCCACGCCAGGCACTCTCTGCCTGATGAGATAGCTGACACAGCCGTTTAAGGCCAGTGGTCTTTCGAACATCAGGAAAAAGCTCCCTTTGGGTTTGTTTCAAGAGGAGGATTTCAGAGGCTAAGCCTGCAGACCTTAAGAGAATACACAAGCCTGTTCCAGTCAAAAGAGCAGCTGGGATGAAGGTCGGAAGGTCAAGGAGAACAGAGAAAAAGCACACCTATGGTTAGGGGGACAGTAACCCTGGGAGGAGAGATGACTCCACCAAAATCGCAAAGTGACCACAGTGGACATAAAAGACTGATTTTTTTTTTGCACCATCACCTGCAGCACAACTTCATAATCTGTATATAAATCTCAACTAAAACAAAGAAGCCATAAGAAAAAAATCCCACTGCTGCTATAACCTTAATGGCATCATTTTTCTCACATGGTAAGTCAACTTTGGTTCTACACTAAAACTGCCTGTTTGTGTGACAAATTTGGGACAAAAAGAGAGATGACTTAAATTATAAGATGCATCCAGAAAGAGAAGATATTCTCTTCATAAAAATAATTTTCCAGGACGTCCCTGGCAGTCCAGTGGTTAAGACTTCACTTCCCAATTCAGGGGGTACAGGTTCCATTCCTGGTCAGTGAACTAAAATCCCACATGCCTTGGCCAAAAAACCAAAACATAAAACAGAATTTTTGTAACAAAATTCACTAAAGACTTTAAAAAGTGGTCCACATTTAAAAAAAAATTTTTTTAATAAATAAAAAATAAAAATTATTTTCCCACTGACGAAGATGGGAGTAGACATAAGTGTCCCTATTCTTTCCACTAAGTACATTTAAACACCTGGACATCAAACATAAGATGAACACAAGATGCAGAAAGGGGGACGGGAGAAGGCAGGCCAGCTAGAGACCCTGGGACCCGAGGAGCGACAGTGATGAGTCCCCAGGATTTTCTTTTTGCTTCATATATTTCAGGTGTGGAGCTAAATAAGGCAGCAACCCAGAAAGGGCAACAGCTCAGATAAGAGAAGTCCCCAGAAAAGTGTGCCCTCTCCAACAAAATGATGGAGAAGGCGACAGCCAGGATGGTGCAAGACTCAGAAACAATTAACCACTTTTTTCTGGGCAAATGAAGAAAAAAAAAAAGGTCAGTGCAGAGTCTAGACTTCCACTAGGCTGAAATAAGATGCACCAACCACCCCCCACTGGGGTATTGGAGAATGACCAGTAGGAAGCCCATATGTCATCCCTCCCCAGCTGAATGAAGACAGCCAAGTGGACAGCCATGACTTTCACTACCACCCAGCAGAGAATAGGCCACCACTCACCCACTATGAGTCTCTCTGGAGGCCATGTGGGTAGCCACAACTCCCACTCCAGCAACAATGAACAGCCCCCAGTAACCTCCAGCATCAACACAGACAGAGTGGGGAAACTAAACTTCTACTCCCAGCTTGGTTAAAACCACTCCTCCAGGTGGCCCA